CGTCTCCGTGTTTTAACTGTGATAAGGCAGCTTCAGCGTCCCCTGGAGGAGTCTGTTTTGATCCTCTGATGAACAACAGATCCATTCTACCTGCTCTCCAGAATAACCTTAACCGATGCTTGACATCAAGGATTCCCTCAAAAAGCTAATATGCCCCATCTAATTCTGTTTTTAGAAGCTTTAAACTACTAATAAATCACAGCTAATGTGATGAAGTAGTGGTGAGGAAAACTGCTTTTTTTTTTAATGCTTGCCTATTGTTTCCTCTTTCCTGCACTTATATTGCAGCAGACACAGGAAAAGATCAGATCCACCGTCTCGACGGCCACCTGCCCGTCCCAGTGATGTCCACTGCATGGTGCATACCTCCCAGCAGAGTCATAGTGGACATGGCGGGACTCCAGAGATGGGTTCACCAGTTCTAGGCCACTTCAGCCCACGGGACATGCTGCGAAGTCGCAATCACGTTGCCATAGACAGCCCTGAGCGACGGCGCCGCGCTGGCCACAGCAGTCTGACGAATATCAGTCGTCACGAGTCCCTGAAGAAGATGGAGAGCCCACCGATTCGACGTTCCACGTCCTCGGGCCAGTACACAGGCTTTACCGATGCCCATCACCACCACCACCACCACCACGGCGGCAAGCCCCTGGATCCGGAGACCATCGCACAGGTCAGCGCGGGACGAGCGGCGACCCGACCGCAGCTCCCTCCACCATCAAAGCCCTGCCCTGCCCTGTAAAAACATAGTCAGTCCCAGTCTTCTGCTTCCTCTGGCTGCAACCTAGTCCCTGTGCTAAAGAAACGCAAAAGACTAGCTTCACAGGCAGACGGCAGGGATCACAGTATACTCCTACACACAATATTCCTATAAATTCTGAATTTTTTGGAAAATGCCAAATATTCCAAAGTCTTGAATTTTCTCATCATTCTAATATGGCTTCTGTCATATAAGATTATATAATAGTGGAGCCATAGTCTTTTATAGGCTGTCGTTTAGAAAGCAGAGGGTTACAGAGAGCACCTTAAACTGTGCTGGGCTGTCGGTCTGCCTACTGGGAGCATGCTAAGATGAACATGTCATCTCTGCATCTCATTTGCAATCCAGAGCCATTAACATGGTGAGGGAGAAGAGCCAGTATTAAGTAATATTGTCTACTAACTTTGCATGTATACTGCATGCTTGGTGTTTTCTTAAAAAATCTCTCCTTGTGGTCTTCTTTTATATTGTGTCTGTGTTCTCCATGTTTTTGCATGTTTCTGGTCTTTTTCACTCTTAATTTCTCCATCCAATCTTGCCTTCTTGTTTTTTCTCTCTTTTTTTCATCTTAACCCTCCTGCTCGTGTCTTGCCTATGTCATTATCATCCTCTCTCACGCACATTTTCTCCTCTCCTGCAGGACATAGAGGAAACTATGAACACTGCTCTGAATGAGCTGCGAGAGCTGGAGCGGCAGAGCTCAGCCAAGCACGCCCCCGACGTGGTGTTGGACACCCTGGAGCAGCGGCAGACCTCCGGCAGCAGCGGCGGAGGTCCGACGCCGGCCAGCTCCAGCGAGTCCCTCAGCCCCATCCACGCCGTCATGCTGCGGTCAACTGCCAACACTGAGCCGCCCACCCGCCGCAGCACCAGCTCCTCCAATGATTCTGTGAGCACGTTCAAGCCCGTGGTAGCACCACGCATGGGGGTGCAGCTCAAACCCCCTGCTTTGAGGCCCAAGCCCATGGTCTTACCAAAATCAAATCAGGCCCCTCAGCCTCCTGCTAATTCTTCTCAGGACCCTCTGGATAAGTCCTGCACCATGTAACCTCCAGGGCAGGAATCGGAGAATGTAAATCAAAAACTCTCAATCTAGTTCCCAAGAGACTGTGAAACCAGTGTTTACAGTTCTCAGAGAGAGTACAAGTAATATCTAAGAGTGTGTAAAATACTTGGCCCTGGATTGGAGACATTTCTTTTTGATGGTTTGAATCTGAAAACAAGAATTTAAAAAGGATTAGATCTGAGTTATTGATGTAGGAGTTGTAGTGAAGACAGATTTGTCTGTTGTCTCAGATTTGTGTTAATATGTTTAGGTAATATTAATATTAAATAACAGATATCTTTAAAAAAAAGATTTTAAAAACAACAAATCACAAAGGCTTCCGGAAAGTTTTAGAAAATGTACACATTAGTTTAGTTTACAGATGATAATGAACTGTAACTCTGAACAACATGTGGTGCATGCAGTTCTTGAACCTGTGGTGAGAGCTGTCGTGACCACAGATTAGATTTTTCTTTCCCTTTTATCTAGAATGGCCTTCGGAGGTGTTGCGAACCAGTACATAGATCATACATCAGATGTTCATTAATAGAAAAGGTGCTGTGACTTGCTGGGCAGAAAGAGTTTTAAGGAGCCAAAAGAGCCCTTTACAGATTATTTATTAACGGTACTCTGTTAATAAATGAGTAGTACTGACACCAGTATGCTTTTTTCCACTCGCATGTAAACTGCAGCTTTCTTCAGCAAAGCATGCCGTCTGTTGTGTTTCGTTAAGTACAAAGATCACCTCTGTGCTGGCTTCACTCAGATTTATTTAAGCATATTGCCTGGAATGACAGATGATGATTGGATAAAACCACTATTGCTTTATGACTTTTACGTCTGAACATTTTGATGCGTTCATAAATTCCTGCAACGTTACCTTAGGTTGTGGGAAGAAATGCGCCTGATATGTGTTTGCTTTTGCATCTGTGTAACCTTTAGGGAGAAAATGATGATGAAAAATATGTTGTTACACTGCGTGGACTACATGCCATAGCTTCCTTTTATGCCTTGTTTGGCTTTATTTACCCAAAGACATGAGTTTATAAGTCAAAGCACGGATACTGATCCTTCATGTTTAGACTCAAGGTGGCGCCCTGTGGTTGTGCTGCCAGTAGCCATGGACCTGATGACTGTTAGTTGTAAAAGCCTCCTAATACGTTCCCCCTGCTTCCTGTGCTTCTCTTTGCGAAGGTGTTTGAAAACAGCAGCTTGCTTTGAGTCCTCTAGTCTGTTTTATATTTGGGAAAGAATGTCAATAATGTTTGCATACTGCTCTCAGACTGACATTGAAGCTCTTTTCGCGCATTTACCGATTTGTGTGGATGATACTTAGAAGTGCATGGAAAGAAATGGGCTACGTGGGTCAGTCAGCTCCTATATAATGATTTCAAAATGCAATAGCCTCATAAAATTGTATGTGCCAGACTTCCAGTTTTGTGGCTGCACCCCTGTATGTCTCCATTTGTTTTTGTTTTTTTAACCTCTGTGCTGTAGAAATAACAGAGCCGGGTGCATGTCATTGGAGTGTTTGGCTAGCATAGTTACATATAGAAAAGAGTTTGGTAGTTAGGTTGCAGTGCATAAGCAATGCTCTCTAACAGCAGGTTTACACTATCTTTGACTTGACAAATATTATATGTATAAATAATTAAAGGTTAATTAATTTCTGAATTACTAACTTTCATTATTTTTGTAATCTTCTTTTTGTTATATTTGTTGTGTTTCTGGGTAGAAATCACTTAGAAGATATGATGTGGAATAAATATCCAGAGATACAGGTGTCCCACCTATAGTGTGAAGCCAGTTGTGTATATAAAAAATGTGTTTTTGTCACTATGTAACATCAGCAACAGTAGGACTCAAGTTATGCCGTCTGTAGGCTTTAAGCTACTCTGTGGTGTTATGTACATCTGTATTCTGTGAAAGTGCCTTTGGAAATGTTTTAGAGGAACTTCAGACACTCTGCCCGGTCGCATATTAGATGCCGTGTTTTTGAGAAAATGCAGTGCAGGATGATGAAGTGTATAAGAAATTATGCCATTTTCCAAACAGTTATATGGCAGAATTGATCATAAATAAACAGCTTACTCAATGTGACATTGCACTTTTATGTATATAACTGTATATATGGCATGTAATATCATAACGTTTAGAGTTCATTCAAGGATTTCTTTCTAATAAAGGAAATAGTTTGTTGACCTTGTGTGTGTTTTTGTTTTTGTTTGTTTTATTGAGGAACTTTGACTGCAATTTATTAAATAGATTGACTACACTTGTGTAGATGAAGTTTTAGTGCCCCTAAAAGACGTTTGAGCCAGAACAGTAAAATTACCAGTTTTGCAAAGAATAACATACACTGGTTTTGTCAAGAATAATAAAAAATTGTGAAAGCTTTCATTAAATTAGAAAACAGACTCATTGCCTTCACTGTATGGGGACAAGGACCAGCTTAGTGTCATGTTTCCCACAGAGCCTCTTTCTCAGCCAGTGTGTCTATTCTTTGTTCTGTTTGGATAGCAGAAAAGTACAGTTTCAAGATTGTAGTCATTCAGATTTGCAACAGTCAAAAAGAGTAGATGATTGGTAAATAGATCGATGCTTACAAAGCACTTTTCTACTTTAATTGCACACTCAAAATGCATTTTTACTATAAGCCTCATTCACCCAATCTCGCATACATTCATAAAAGTGCTTTTTTCTAAACCTACGCACACTGTCTAACATTCACACTCTGTTAGATGCATTGGGACAACAGCATCTTGCAAAAGGTTACTTCAATGTGCAGAGTACAAGAGCCAGGGATCAAACCTCTAATCTTGCAGCTAGTAAACGACCTGCACTACCTTCTGAGCAATAGATGGTCCGAATAAGATGAGAGTACAGAAACTTGTGAGAGCACAACAAAAGGCAGAAAGGCCACACAAACTAAGTAGTTAGCACATTTCCTCACAGCAAAGTCCCGAGTCCTTGTTGTGAACACCGGTCAGAGCAGGGCCCTGATGTGTGGAGTTGCCTTTGTTTATTCCAGAAGTTCCTGTTTCTTCCTGCCGTGACATGATCAGTTCATTCTCCTGTCACTGTGCCTTTTAACACAGCTGCAGATGGTCCTCGGCACCACACTGCATTACAGAACGAGTTTCCCTTTTGTGTCAATAACGGCTGTCAATCTTAAATGAATGAGTCACATTTGCATAAATAAAGAAAGGAAATTTTTAATGTCAATCATAATTTTGAATAAGTAACTCTCAGGGACACAGATATGATGAGGATGAAAGCCATTGTTTTTACATTTAACAAAAAGCATTAAAAGATTGCAAACAATAATAAACAAAGCAGACGCAGAACGATTGATGGAAAGTTTTCTTGTTGTCATCAAATCAGTCATTTGGGAAACTTCTTTTTTCTACATGTTATGTGCTGCTATGTGTGGGAGTTTTATTGGGATTTGGTGTTCCCCGGAGCTAGTTCCAACCTGTTTGTTCCACACTTTAGTGTGGGTCTTGAAGGCCATCTAGTTAAAACAGAGATTGTGTTGTTTTTAATACTATAGCACAACAGTTTTATTGTTATTGAGGAGAGACTAAATAAAAATAACATTTTACCTCAGCAATCCCAACCTTTCTCTCCCAAGTGTGAATGCTCTGCTTAAGCTTCTTGTATTTGTCTTTGACATGCATGTACTCAGTGATATCAGGAGCCTGATAATCTCTGAGCTGCCGTCTGAGTTTGTGGTTAAGGGCTTCAGCCGCTGAATGCTCCTGAGGAGAGAAAGATCAGGTATTAAAATTGGGGGTTTTAGATTCTTGAAGCTTTACTAATTTCGACAAACCTTCTCAGCATGCTCTAACTCCTCCTCTATTTTTGCCAGCATCTGCCTCACTTTGGCGATGTCATTGCTCAGCTCTGCCGACATCAATGTCACACTCTGCAGCTTTTCCTGCTCACACAGATATGACAGATAAGCTGAAAGTTATACTGGAAATAACGCCAAGAACACCATCTGACAAATTTCCAGCGAGTTACCTTGTGTGAGCTGAGAACACGCTGAACCTTCAAACTGTTGATCTGAAGTTCATCCAGGTTTTTGTCGGGTCTTGGCTCGTCATACTCCTGAAAAAATTCCTAGATGCAATACACAGAACTTTGCATTTACACACTAGCAAAATTAGCAAGTATATAAATGGTTACAAACATGTAAGACACTGACAAACTTTGGCAGCAGAAAGCAGACTGTACATTGATTTTCTGTCCTCTCGTGTAACAGTCTAACCTACAACCTACACAATCTCTTGACAGCAACACATTTGCTTTCATTCTCTACCTCATACTCAGCTTTCCCCATCTCTTTTTTCTGCTGCAGCTGTTGCAGGAGCTTCTTCTCGTGGAGCTTTAGTGCCTGATTCTTTACATTTAAGGTCTCCAGCTGGGTGACCTGTACATACGTTTGAACAGAACAAATGAGGTGAAAGGGAGGTTATAAACAGGACTGAAGAAAGCGGATAACTAACAAGGGTGAAAAAAAGTTCTTTACGCTGCTTGCTTCAATCTTTAGAAGCTAACCCATCTTAATAATCTTAGTAATTTTATTGACTTTATATAAAATACTTGGGTAAAATTAATAATATGACTTTAAAAGGGTAAAAAGTCTCTGGCCTTTGGAAATGTGCATACCTCTAACCTGGAACAATCTATTCAAATACTGCTGTGCACATGTTGATGTCACTGTTTTGTTAAAAAGACAAGTTTTGTTACCTTTAACTTGTCTTCAATGTACTGGAGCACCTTCTCTGGCTCTTTCATTTCTAGCGTGTTGTCCTTTGTAGGTTTGACCAGTCTACGCTCAAAATCGTTCTTGGCCTTCCTGACATCAGCCAGACGTAATTCTGCTTCCTTCATAGAGGCCTGAAAAGACGAGTATGTTTCATGAATAAATGTACCTGAGTCAGTGTTTCTACATATTGTGTTTTATTTTTTGCGTGTGTGTGTTGTAACCTTGTAGTTGTCCTTGTTTTTTTCAGATTTCAGTTTGAGTTTCTCCCGGTCCTGTTGCGTTTCTCTTACTTCTCTCTGTGCTACGCACAGTTTTTGTTCTAAAGTGAGCGGCTGAAAACGGTCCGATATGTTGGACCTGGACTTTCGCCTCCATCCAACGCCCTGAAGGCACAAAAACTCAAAATAGTATCCTATGATGTTTTGTTCAAGAAAGAGAATGCAAATGTTTTCAGTCAAACATTTATTGGCTGGAAAGAGTTGATGCAATAAGATCTGCTTTATTTTGGCCTGTCTCAAACAGTAAATAAATTGACATTACCTAAAACTATAAAAACATTACACTGCAGCTGGGACAGCCATAAAAAGGACTTTGTCCTTCACTGTCTATCTAATTCACAAGTTCTGACAAATAAAGTGTGCTGTGTGTAGATATATGTTGAGTGTGAAGCATTAATCTGCAGTCTTTACTTTTAGGAAGAGACCTATAATAGCAAGTAAGGATTTGCATTCAAGGTTATTTAATAAACCTTTATGGTACTTACCCCAGCCCCCAGCTTCAAGCTTCGTGTTGCCCCGGCACCTTCTCCCCCAGCCTGGGATAGCAGGTCTTGTGGATCCAGGCGGCAAATGAAGCTTTCAAACATGTCATTCTCTGCCAGGAGGGCTGCATTGGAATGCCTCGGGGAAGAATGAATAAGAAAAGCAGGCAAAATAAATAATTTTTTTTAAAAATCACTTAAAAATGCTCGGAGAAGTAACCGCTTACTTTAAGAAAAATTAATTAGAAAAAACATTATGTAGAGGGTGGAACAGCTCACCCTAAACCTTTCTAGCTAATGGTTAATAGACGAAAAGTTGTATTTTAGTAACATTTAACTGAAATTACAGACCATTAGCAGAGCATTAGCAAGTAACTTTGGTGGGTTATACGGAATAAGTTAAATAAAGTCAGTTGTAGGGTTACAGCCGATAGGACGCAGTTATTTTTAGTTTAATAAATATGAACTGTCATTACTTTAGTTCTTCGATCCGTTTGTAAATGAGTTCCTTCTGTTCTTGCGTGACCTCGTCATTTTCCTCGATCAAGGAAAGCTCGTCCTCCATGGTTGCTAAGGTACACTGAACCTCTGGTTTCTATGGCCTAGTGTTGCATTCACGCACTTCTGGAAACGTTTTACTCAGCAAGTTTTGCAATGAGAGAAATGGATGTAATAGTGAAGGCTTTAGGACCCAGGGGACCCAAGAGAGCAGACTTTTTTTCTAAAAAAAAAAAGTCGCTAAAAAAAGACGTGAAAGCGCGTATCGCTTTTACTCTCAACAAGCAGCGGGTGCTATAACGCAGTCAGTTCTTCTTTTACTCTTATGCTGTTTTGTGGATCACAAGGTTTAAAACTACTTATAAACACACATACACGAAGTAACTCCACCAGAGCGCCTATTTCGGGTCACTTTTGCCGGTCCAAGCCCGGGTAAAGGAGCAGGGTTGGAATTGTGACATTAAAAAAAAACAATAATTGCTAAAAGAAATTTAATTTGTAGTTCTAAAGAAACTCTAAATGCATTTAGGACGTTTTTTACTCACTTTATGTCTCTTCCACGATGTTATTTCTCTCTCCAACAACATAGGTTACAATTAGATTAGCATGACCAATTATGCAAATTAGGCGATGACGTCATTTAGCGACTTTTAGGACAGCCAATAGCGATTTTCCTTACTGAGGAGTTGGCAACACGGGCAGCAGGTGCTCTTCTTCTGTCATTTGCACTGACGAGGGCTGTGAACAATGGTTGTATGAGTAGGTGAAGAGCCTGAGAAGTTTTAATTGTCTTCTACACAAACGGTTGTTTTAAACCTCTACAGCAGAGGTTCGAGTAGAGATTTTAGAAGACAAGCCAGGTGTGCAGCAAACACAGTTGTCTGCTGGAGGACAGGCTGCACATGTGAATTTGTCACTGTTTTTTCCTCCTTCTCCTTTTTGTTGCGTTTTTGGTTTTAGTAGGGTCACCTTTTAAAACTGTTTTTTATGCCGGGTTTGTTTTTATTTCTACTGGGCTGGTGCAATATTAGTCGGGCAATGTGCAATCCCTGAGCTAGGCTCTTACCTTAGGGGAATTAGGTCTTTTAGAGGTGCTCCGTGTGGATTTGCAGTGAATACGTTTTATTAAGAGTGATTTTAGTGCCACCGATTATTGCCTGAACTAAAACACTTAGTGCATGTGTTAAGATATTCATTGTGTGTACTCATGTTGTACAGTGTTTAACTGCATTATGGTTACTGTGGTTTAACAGAGACAGTATTTTAGTTGCCACCACAAGGAGGCACTGTTTCATTGTAAGAGCACGGATGCTGCGTCATCACGCCCCTAAGAAAAAAAAGTATACCACAACGAAAATTTTTTTTTTTTTTTTTTTTTTTTTTTTTAAATACTTTAATTAAATTTATGCACATATTACAATCTCTCGTTGGGAGACAACATTTGTGCAACAACATCTTGAAAAGGTTGAATAAGAAATCAAACGAAAAAAAACAAAACAAACAAAAAAAACCAAAACAAAACAAAAACAAAACAAAACACATATATACATATACATAAATATATGAAGGCCATTTTTATGACATATAACAGTTTCCTTTCTGCGAACACTTTAACATACATGTGGCTTACTTAGTACACCAAAAAACAATCATTAAAAGGATAGAGATTGAGTCCCATTGTCGCATATCAAAGCAGCCTCTTTACATGAATCCCTCAGTAATTCTAAAGATGACAAAAAAGATTTTAATTCAATTTTCAATACAGTTAGGGAAGGTCTTTTACTTTTCCATTTGCATTTGTGTATGTGGTATTTGCCCATAATTATCACCACCTTGTGTAGCATGGACAGTTCCTTAGATGGATCACCATTATTATATAAAACTTGTGTTAGAGTCAGTGGGGTCATCCCATCTATTCTTATACTCAACCAGTCTACTAGATCTTGCCAAAAGTCAGTTGTTACTGAGCAGGAAAAAAACAAATGATCAATACTTTCCGCATTTTGTGAACAAAATCCACATGGCTCTACCTCAAACCCAAACCTTTTTTTAAGCATTTCAGCTGCTGGGTAATATCCATTAATTATTTTAAATTGCATTTCTTTGACTTTGGGGGGGATAGGCCATTTTAAAAAGTGCGTATATTTGTTCGTTATTTTAACATTACTCCCTTTTAGTTTTGTGTTACTGTTAAAGTCGTGAAATAATTTGTTTTTAAATATCTTGTTCATGGTTTTATTATTACAATTTTTATCCGTCAAAGGAATCTGGTTTAGATGTAAAGAAGGTAGACTAATTTGTGCCTTAGAGTAATACAAATAACCTTGAATCAAACTCAACAGAGGTAAGGGGATTGCCTTACAAACCTTGTCATATTCTCTAAGGGAACACTGAATGTTAAACTTAGCATTAAAAACACCCACTGAGAGAAACTGACCCCTTTCATCAAGTAAGTCTGTTATAAAGATTATGTTTTTTTCAAACCACTCTTTAATAAACAATGACTTCTTATTAATTGTAATTGTTCTGTTATTCCACAAGGTGGAGCAATGTGGTGAAAAGTTATGGGCAAACACCATCTTCCAATAAGACAAGACCTGCTTATGATATTCTGACAGTTTCACAGGCAACTTCAATATATCAAAATCACATTTCAGGAGAAAATCCAACCCTCCCACCTTTTTGAAAATATTTTTTGGGATATGGAACCATATGGAGTCAGGTTTCAAGAGGAAGGCTTTTATCCAGTTTATTTTAAATACTCCAACCATTGATTGAAAATCAATTGACTTTATACCACCTTTAGCGTAATCTTTGACAAGTTGTGATTTTTTAATGTAATGTGTTTTATTGCGCCAAATGAATTGATAGATTATAGAGTTAATCTTTTTAATGCTTTTCGGGGTAATGTATAGTGAGTATGCTGGATAAACCATCTTTGATACGCCCTCTGATTTGGATAATAGATTGCGTCCAAAAATTGTAATATCTCTCGTCAACCAATGATTTAGTGTTTTGGACATGCCATCAATTTTGTCTTTTAGGTTTTTTGATTCTCTAGTGTTGATGTCTTTGTCTAAATAGATGCCTAGATACTTAACTTCATTTTTCACTGGAATCGTCCTCATGCTATTTTCCAAACAATCATAAAGTGGCAAAAGTTCACACTTCTTTAGGTTCAGACACAAGCCTGAAGCTTTAGAAAAAATTGAAATGACATTCAATGCTTTCTCGAGTATTGATTTATCCTTTAAAAATATTACTGTGTCATCTGCAAACTGACTTATTTTCAGTTCAATATCAAAAATGTTTATTCCTTCGATGTCTGAATGGTTCACAATGAGGTAAGCCATTAATTGAGTGCAAAGAATAAATAGTTTTGGAGAAATTGGATACCACAACGAAAATGGCACCCATGAGAAAAGTTTTGCCGCGTGTTGATGAGGAATAAAGTTCCCAAAATATTAAGGACATTTTTGCCTCCGTCGTCATTTTCCTTCGAGTTGATCGCTGTCGATGCTGCAATACTCAACAGCATGCGATAAGTGTTCTGTTGGGCTCGTATTTATTTGGGGTGGATTTGTTTCTTTTAAAGCAACGAGAATCTGGGACCCCCGAGGGAGAGCAAGCCCGCAGGTGATAGTTGCATTGCTGGCAGGTTGCACCAATAAGACTATCTTGTGGTCGTTAGTGACCTTTCCCATTTTGATGTTTTAGGCCTTTTGCAAACCCTTTGTGTTCTTTTAAAATAAATTTTAACATATCTGACTGATATTGACCCTCTTGTCCCGTTTATTCTGGGCTCGTTCCTGTAAGAGCTTTGGGCCTGAAAGTTTGCACAAGTAGTATAGAGGTCGTTAGCGGTTACTCGGTGGCTTTTATTCGCTACATAGAGTTTAAAAAAATGCTCTCGCCTTCTTGAGGATATATATTTTTTGTTTGTGTAACAGAGCACTAATGTGTTGAATAAAATGTCAAAGAAATGTATAATTTATTTATTCCATGAGTTAAACATACATTTCCCCATTCATTCCCAGACAGGACTTACAAAACATTTTACTACTGGGGTGTCCAACTCCAGTCCTCGAGAGCTACCGTCCTGCAGCTTTTACATGCATCCTCACTCCAACACAGTTGAATCAAATGGTTGAATTACCTCTACCATCAAATCTGGCAAAGGCCTGATGACAAGCCATTCATTTGATTGAGGTGTGTCGGAACAAGGATGAGTCTAAAAGCTGAAGGACGATAGCTCTCGAGGACTGGAGTTGGACACCCCCGTTCTACTAATATCCCAGCTGCACATAAGACCATCAAACCAAAGGTGCGAATCAATGACTCTACAGCAGGGGTGTCGAACTCCAGGCCTCGACGGCCAGTGTCCTGCAGATTTTAGGTGTGTCCTTGATCAGACACAGCTGATTTACATGGCTAAATGACCTCCTCAACATGTCTTGAAGTTCTCCAGAGGCCTGGTAATGAACTAATCAACCTAACCCTGACCCGGGGTGATACCTAAAACCTGCAGGACACCGCCCCTCGAGGCCTGGAGTCTGACACCCCTGCAGTCACTGGTGCTAACAAATAACACTGCAAACCGTTACACCCAGTTTTAGAGACACTGCAATTTACCTGTGGCCATGCACTGCAAACAATTCGGGTCTCACCGCTATGCATGACCTGCAACCTGGGTTTGTAAAGGGAAGTGGCACAATCAAATTAAACGAAAAAACAAGAAGAGAGGTTAGTCCGCCTTTACAAGACTCACTCTCAGTCATTCATAACAGCCTTTGCAGCTGGACGGGCTAGCCAAAACCAAATTACAAATCAACCAAAAGAATAAAAAAGGACAGCAGAGGTGCAGTCGATCTACAACTTGATTGATTAAAACTTGTGGTCACACGACCAATCTTCTTCTTCTGTATAGGTTTATTGGCGGTTGGCAAACAGCAAAATGGTGCATTACCGCCACCAACTAGTGTGGAGTGTGGACCGAAATGACAATAAATAAATAAAAATATAATATAATATAATAAAATAAAATATTCAAATTCTCCCGAACAAATG